CTTCCCCTTCACCCATGCCATCCCCGAGGGCGGGCGCGTCCCCTTCTCTGCCACCCTCAAGTGCAAGGCCGGCTTGCAGGTCAGCGTGAGTAGCCCCCTGGACCCCGTGATGCCACCATGCTGGTCCCCACCATTGGCAGTGGCAGCCTGGTGGGTTTGTCCCACACTGCCAGTAGCAGAGCCCAGCTGGGAGAAGCATCCCATCCCCAAAGAGCTGGGGGCTCCCAGCCCTGTCCCCTTGCTGGGGTGCAGGTTCCACCCCCACCTCATCTCAACCTACACCTCTACAGAACACCACCATCTTCGAGGGGGTCCTGGAAGTGACGGTGAAGGATGGCTGGTGGCCGCCCAACAGTGAGTTTGGGGCAGGGGAGGGGGCCAGGGATGGGAAGGGGACCTCCCCCCGCAGCGTGGTGGTGCTGACAGCCTTGTCCTCCCGCAGACCGTGGGCTAGGGCTAGCCGCTGTCCTGGGCATCACCTTCGGCGCCTTCCTCATTGGGGCACTCCTCACCGCTGGGCTCTGGTGCATCTATTCACGCACTCGTGAGTATTCACTGCCCCTGGGGACCCCCATGGTGGGATGGGGGGGCCACACGCCTGGCCCCTCCAGCCCAAAGCTCCCTGGCCAAGGTTCCCAGGTGAGCCAGGGACCAGGCTGCTGTGTTGCCATCATCCGTACGGTCCTCCTGGCAATGCCACCGGGGAATAACCCTATTGAGGGTGGCCATGGCTTCCCAGGGTCCCCCCTACTGCCCTGGGGTCCCCCCTGCCTTCCCTCCTACTCCTGGTGCCACTATGGCCCCCCATGCCCATCTCCATCCTGGGGCTCAGGGGCCATCTGGGGAGTAATCCAGGAGGATTCATGCTTGGGGGCTGGAAGGTCCCATGGGGATGAGCCATGGCCACCGCTGGCCACCCTGAGTCTGATTTCCCTTTGCTGTTTCTCCCCCCGGCCCTGCGGCACATGGCCTGAGCCAGGTCCCACCTCCAAACTGCAGCCAGTTTCC